TAATATATATTAATAATAATATAGTATTTTTTTGGGAAAAAATCATCAGATTTAGACTCGATGAGATAAAATGGTCGCCTGTGGACAGATGCGCAGATGCAGACGATAGATTAGTTAATACGCTATTTATAGTTAATAATATACTTAACTAGTTAATATGTGTTAATAATAATAATAAGTGATGAATTATAACGAATGTAGAGCTGTAAAAATAAATGTATTTTTTTGGTGTATATGTATATGTATCAGATTTAGCCACGTTGAGATAAAATGTCGAATTCATTAAAAATCTCAGTTTCAGGCGGTAACCATGACAACAGCACCTGGCAACTGCCTCCGCAACTACGTCAACTACCACGACAACTCTGACACTCTGCAACTATCCCCACTCCACGATCCTCCCGCCGTAACCATAGCAACGACGCAGACGCCTCACCTGTCTCCGAGCATCCCGCGGGTTCGATCTCGCTGCTGCCGACGCGGAAGATCCACTTCCCGGGCACGCCGACGTTGCTCGTGTCCTTGAGGTTGAGCGCGGCGATCGTGCCGGAGCCGACGACCGCCAGGTAGCGCTGCCCGTCGCCCGCGTTAAAACCAGTCTGTGTGCGGAGGAGAGAGAACGATGTGGTAGATGTGTGGAGAGAAGAGGGAGAGAAGGAGAGGGGGAGGGGGAGGGGGAGAGAAAGAGAGAGAAAGAAAGAGACCACCGCCACCACCAGCAGCAGCAGCAACAGCAGCAGCAGCATGAGCATTATCATCATCGTCATCATCATCATCATCAGCAGCAGCAGCAGTAGCAGCAGTAGTAGCATCATCATCATCATCATCATCATCAGCAGCAGCAGCAGTAGCAGCAGCATCAGCAGCAATAGCAGCAGCATCAGCATCATCATCATCATCATCATCAACATCATCGCCATCATCATCATCATCATCATCATCATCAACATCAGCAGCAACAGCACCTGCTAGCTTCTCCTCACTTATAGTGACGAACCTGAGCGGCGTAGCCCCCGAGTCCGGAGATGGGGTCTCCCTTGCTGGCGGTGCCCGTCGTCCACGTTAGCTCGTTATAGAGGAAGATGGCAAACGTCTGCACTCTATCCGTGACGAGGAGCACTTGGAATGTGTTCGTCTGCAACGAAACGTGGGGTGTCAATTGATTAATCGATCAATCAATCACTTCGATTAATCAATCAATCAGGAAATCAATTTAAGTGACCAGTCAATCGATCAATCGATCAATTCGATTGATCGATCGATTAACCATTTATTCAACCAACCACTCAATCAATTAATCACTCAATCAATCAATCAATCAATCAACCAACCAATCCACCAACCAGTGAACTAAACCAATCAATCTCGCAACCCATCAAGAAAGCAAGACATTGAACACCCTTCTAATAAAACATAGAAGCGAATGAATCAATCAACTTAGTCGATCAATTAATCAGCTTAATCGAATCAATTAATCAGCTTAATCGAATCAATTAGTTGTCGTATGGGAGAGCGTACGTCGGTTCTCTTGCTGCCGCCGAAGTAGGTGACATCCTTCCACGTGGCGACGAACGCTGCGCGAGCGGAGAAGTCCTGACTGTTGATGAAGGTCGAGCGAATGTCATCGTTAATCCTGTTGAGATGCTGAGCATCTGTGAGAGATAACAACACATACGGAGTAAAACATTGGGATTCACGTACCGGGGGAGGGGGTATATATATATATATATCTAAACAATAGAAAACCGACTTCAATAGCTCTAACCTATAATAATGAAACGAAAAAGACCGAAAATAGCTGCACA